ACCAGCTCTAGTCAGCATTACCACTTCCCTTTTTCCAGTAAAAGAAAAGGCAAAAGTGTCAAGGTACTCAAAATGCCTGATTTTGCCACTAGGTGTTGCTATGGCACCAGAAACTGGACTGCTCTTCTCCCCTCTTCCCCCCTTTCGGAAAATGCCCTCCATCAACTCACTTCAGTTTGTCTTGGATGCCTACATTTTTTAGCCTTTGCCCCCTCTGCACCAACGAACGTGGCCAAGTATGGCCAAATAAAACAAGGCACTGTTCTAACATCGAAGTCCTACATTCCTTTATTGCAAGATAGAAAATGTGGGAAGGTGAGGTTGCATTGCATGTATTTAAAGCACAGATGGGGAACTTCTGATCCTACAGGTGCTGGACTGTTCCATCATCCCTGACCAATGGCCATGCTGGCTGGAGATTATGGAAGCTTGAGCCCAGCAACATATTGAAGGGCATGGACATGTTTTCCATCTCTGACTTACAGCTTTGCTACTGTTGCAATGCAGATAAGAGAGTCCACAAAGAAATCATAATGTTGAGCAGGGATTTGAAGGAAGAGAGCTGAGAAAAGTAGTTCCAAGTATAAGAGGCGGAAGATTAGGTGCATATTGATTTATATGAGCAGCAAGTCTTTTGGCCAGAAGGTGGAGCCCAGAAGCCACTATATGGTGACAATTGTCTTGGCAGGCATGGAGGAAAACATCTGTGGAGACAACCATGGAAAAAGATGTGAAACCCAGCAATCCAGACTCAGGAAACCTGATTGTTGCAGTTAGTCAGCACACTGGGATGTTAAACCATGGCTTGTTCCTAGGTGTTTGTTTGTTTGTTTTTAAATAACGAGTCAGAATGACCACAATTTCTGAAGTTTCGATGTACAGTGGTACCTCAGTTTTTGAACAACTTAGTTCATGAACAACTTGGAACTCAAATGCTGCAAAATCGGAAGTAGGTGTTCCAGTTTTTGAACGTTTTTTTGGGAGCTGAACTTCCTCCGTTTTGAGTCCGTGTTTCTTGTTGCGCTGCTAATTTGCGTCCTCCCATTGTAATTCAAGCCTTCCGTTTCTGATTGCAGTGTTCTGAGGTGATATTTGGAGTTATATTTGGTGCTTTTGTTTTTGCTATTTATTTTGCGTTTTTTGTTTTGAGGCTCTTTCAGTTAATTTTTTTTTGTGACTGTGTGGATCCCAGTTCAGCTACTGATTGATTGATTGATTGATTGATTGTGTGATTGCGGAAATGGATAAAAGCCACCCATTCATACAGTGACTATCATCAGTGCAGGTAAGACTATTTTTTAAAAAATTTTATCATCTACAATACTGTTTTATTTATTTTATAGTACAGTACATTGTTTATTGCTTTCATTTTATGTATTCATGGTCTTGTTAGACAGTAAAATTCATGTTAAATTGCTGTTTTAGGGGTTGTTTTTAAAAGTCTGGAACGGATTAATCCATTTTGCATTACTTTCTATGGGCAAGCATGCCTTGGTTTTGGAACACTTTGATTTTGGAACAGACTTCCGGAACGGATTAAGTTTGAGAACCAAGGTACCACTGTAATGTGAAGCTTGATTTATTCATAAAGAAAAGCAGAAGCTTTCAGTGGCCTCCCCTCACTCTCAGGAGGAAGAAGAGGCAAAAGGCACATGCAAGTCCAAGCTTTGTGCTCATAACTTAAACTAAGGATCCAATCAATGCCAGTGCATACCAGGTCAATCACTGGCCAATACGGTAATGCTAACTGCAGTGTCAGATTTAGGGCAGCATGAGCAGTATCCCTGTAAAGGGCACTGAGCTGAGGCGGTGCAAAATTTTCAAAGATGATGCTATTAATGTGCTACACTAAATATGCCAGCAAATTTGGAAAACTCAGCAGTCACCAAAGGATTGGAGAAGATCACTCTACATCCCAATTCCAAAGAAGGGCAGTGCCAAAGAATGCTCCAACTACCGTACAATTGCACTCATTTCACACGCTAGCAAGGTTATGCTTAAAATTCTACAAGGCACGCTTAAGCAGTATGTGGACCGAGAACTCCCAGAAGTGCAAGCTGGATTTGGAAGGGGCAGAGGAACCAGAGACCAAATTGCAAACATGCGCTGGATTATGGAGAAAGCTAGAGAGTTCCAGAAAGACATCTACTTCTGCTTCATTGACTATGCAAAAGCCTTTGACTGTGTTGACCACAGCAAACTATGGCAAGTTCTTAAATGGGAGTGCCTGATCACCTCATCTGTCTCCTGAAAAATCTCTATGTGGGACAAGAAGCTACAGTTAGAACTGGATATGGAACAACTGATTGGTTCAAATTTGGGAAAGGAGTACGACAAGGTTGTATATTGTCTCCCTGCTTATTTAACTTATATGCAGAATTCATCATGCAAAAGGCTGGGCTGGATGAATCCCAAGCCGGAATTAAGATTGCCGGAAGAAATATCAACAACCTCAGATATGCAGATGACACAACCTTGATGGCAGAAAGTGAGGAGGAATTAAAGAACCTTTTAATGAGGGTGAAAGAGGAGAACGCAAAATATGGTCTGAAGCTCAGCATCAAAAAAACGAATATTATGGCCACTGGGCCCATCACCTCTTGGCAAATAGAAGGGGAAGAAATGGATGCAGTGAGAGATTTTACTTTCTAGGGCTCCATGATCACTGCAGATGGTGACCACTGCAGATGGTGACAGCAGTCATGAAATTAAAAACGCCTGCTTCTTGGGAGAAAAGCAGTGACAAACCTAGACAGCATCTTAAAAAGCAGAGACATCACCTTGCCAACAAAGGTCCGTATAGTTAAAGCTATGGTTTTCCCAGTAGTGATGTATGGAAGTGAGAGCTGGACCATAAAGAAGGCTGATCGCCGAAGAATTGATGCTTTTGAATTATGGTGTTGGAGGAGACTCTTGAGAATCCCATGGACTGCAAGAAGATCAAACCTCTCCATTCTTAAGGAAATCAGCCCTGAGTGCTCACTGGAAGGACAGATCCTGAAGCTGAGGCTCCAATACTTTGGCCACCTCATGAGAAGAGAAGACTCCCTGGAAAAGACCCTGATGTTGGGAAAGATGGAGGGCACAAGGAGAAGAGGACAACAGAGGACGAGATGGTTGGACAGTGTTCTAGAAGCTACCAGCATGAGTTTGACCAAACTGTGGGAGGCAGTGGAAGACAGAAGTACCTGGGGTGCTCTGGTCCATGGGGTCACGAAGAGTCAGACACGACTAAACGATTAAACAAACAACACCATCAAACAAACCTATATTTATAGGTTTTATTTATTTATCTTGACTGTGTTGCTATCTCTCAATACAATATTGAGCGGAGATGGTATTGTCGCATACAGATTTAGACATGGAGACTCTGCAACAAATAAATTGGAACAGCCCAATGATTGTCTGTTCTGTCTCATGAGCTTCATTATCCGTTGTATATCAAAGGGATAGGCTTACCTCGCTCCCCACCCCCAATATTTTATTCAAGTTGGCATCCCCACCCCCTTGGTCACCCTAATATGAGATCCAAATGTCGCCTCCATTCTCCTTCCTGCCCTCACACATTAGACTGGTCCTGTTTGTCGCAGCCCAGTGTTACCAAGGTGAGAGAACTTTTGTTTTTCCTGTGGAAAACTCTATGGCATCAAGGTGGAATAATAGAGGATAAGTTACTTAGCAAGCAAGGAAGCATTAGGACAATCTGATTTAACTAAGGTTAGATCACCCCACATGCTTGACATGAGTGCTCCTCACCAAAATTGTAATGTTTTAGACCAGTGTTTCCCGAACTTGGGTCTCCAGCTGTTTTTGGACTACAACTCCCATCAATCCCTGGCCACTGGTCCTGCTAGCTAGGGATGATGGGTGTTGTAGAGGCTTGTTGGTTTAGAGGCTTGTTGTGGGCAATACATAGCCCCATGCCTACTATCCTCCACAAATTTGTGAGGTCTGATTATCACACTTGGGGTGGATGTGATTGCAGAATGAAGCGCTGGAAGTGATCTGGACAAACATTTGTTCCAGGAAAGATGCCACCAAGGGGTTCTGCAACCTCCCATCTACACTAAACTATAAAGCCGCCGGTGTTGTAAC